GGAGGGTGCCACCTCAACTGGTCCCCTCCCTTTAGAATCACAGAAACAGTTAATCGAAGGAATGTGATCTGTTACAAGTATGGTTACAATGAGTATATACACCCCTTGTTAATTGCAAGATGGTCTCCCACCTTGAACAATGTTTAAGGAAACTTGGCAGCACCAGAGCTCTATTAAACCATCTTGGGCAACAAGCAAGAAGTTCTATATAAACTACACTGACTTCACACTGAAGGTAACTGACCTAAGGTAAACCATACACACCAAAACACAACTCTCTACACTTAGAGAGTACCTTTCATCTTCTCTGATTACTCATTCCCACACTGGAGGGGTTATCTAGCCAACCCCGGTCAGGCAGCTCTAACGGTGCTTATTGCTGCAGGGTCTTGATTCCTGGACAGTCCAATCAAATGCAAAGCTCTGATCCACAATCATCTAGTGCGGTATACGGTACGCATAGATAGAAAACAACACAAGAAGGGTTTCTTATTTAAAAGTTGTTTACTCGAAATCCGAATTAAGTATATAAATATATAAAAAAATATTTTATATATATATATATATAAATTATTAGTCATTGAATAATGTTAAAGTAATTTAGGTTGTCAAATCATATTAAATATATTATATTATAAACATAAGTAAAATTATCTAAAATCTTATATTTTTCTTTTCTCACTCATAAATTATAAAAATCATTATAGTAGCACATCGATTCTTTAATTCTTATCTATTTCAAAATATATAAATTATTTGATTTGATATTATTATTGATTTTACAAAAAAAAAAAATATTAATAGAATCTAATTTTAATAAATTAATTAATTTAATTACAAAAACATAAATCATGTACAATTCAGGTTTAATTCAAATTAAACTTCGATAGACAACTTTTTATAATTCAAATTTGTGTGGGCGTAAATAGTTTTCAGTAAAACTTGGACTAATAAGGTTGTTTGGGGTGTCCTAAATAAGTGCACTTTTTAACTTTTTGGACTAAAAAGTAGAGGAAAAAAAGATAGTTGTTTATGATAAATTTTTGTTTTTTTATGAAAAGATGTGAAATATAATATTATTACAAATAGTAAAATAACTCTTTTACCCTTCCCAACTGACACAGCAGCAGGAAGACGTGTTACGCATTGTTGGGTATTGTGCCTTTCAGTGAGTGGTCCACCTAGTTGCACAATTTGGACAATGCAAACATTGTGCAACGGTAATATTTGTTCTATAACATTATTTTTGATTTTTTATTCATTTCCTAATTCCAAACACTGTGCAACGGTTGTGCACAGTGCTTGAACTTTTTTTTTAAAAAATTCTTTTCCTTTTTTATTCATTATTTTTTGTTTTCATTCTTTTCCTTTTAACATTATTATTTTTTTATTCTTTTCGTTTTAGTCATTTTTTTTATTCTTTTCCTTTTAACATTTTTCTTTTTTTATTATTTTCCTTTTTGAAATAATTTATTTTTTTTGTTCTTTTCCTTTTAAAATTATTATTATTTTTATTATTTTCTTTTTTTATTCATTTTTTTTTTGTTTTCATTCTTTTCCTTTTAATATTATTTTCTTATTCTTTCCTTTTTTATTCTTTTCCTTTTAACATTATTATTATTTTTTATTCTTTTCCTTTTAACATTATTATTATTTTTATTCTTTTGGTTTTTTTATTCATTTTTTTTTGTTTTCATTCTTTTCCTTTTAATATTATTTTTTTATTCTTTTCCTTTTAACATTATTATTATTTTTTATTCTTTTCCTTTTAACATTATTATTATTTTTATTCTTTTGGTTTTTTTATTCATTTTTTTGTTGTTTTCATTCTTTTCCTATTAACATTACTTTTTTTATTCTTTTCCTTTTTTATTCTTTTCCTTTTAACATTATTATTTTTTATTCTTTTCCTTTTAGTCATTTTTTCTTTTCCTTTTAACATTTTTCTTTTTATTATTTTCCTTTTTGAAATAATTTATTTTTTTATTTTTTTTGTTTTTTTATTCATTTTTTTTTTGTTTTCATTCTTTTCCTTTTAACATTATTTTTTTTTATTCTTTTCCTTTTTTAGTCATTATTTTTTTTCCCTTTTTTATTCTTTTCCTTTTAACAGTTTTATTTTTTTTATTCGTTTCCTTTTATCATTATTATTTTTTTTATTCTTTTCCTTTTTTGTTCAATTTTTTTTGATTGTTTTCCTTTTTTATTAATTATTTTTTATTATTTTCCTTTTAACAATTTTTTTTATTATTTTCCTTTTTTTTATTGTTTTCGTTTTAACAAATTTTTTTTTATTCTTTTTGTTTTCCTTTTTTTTTTATTGTTTTCCTTTTTTATTAGCTGGTCATGCACAGTACTGTTGTAAGTTGTTGAACATTTTTTTTTTTAAAATTCTTTTCCTGTTGCTTTGAACATTGTTTTTTGGACATATGTGACATAAAAATGGATACAAAAATTGTGACGCCCCCAATTTTTTTTTTTTTTTTTGAGACATCATAAGACTTTAAATAACAATAACTTGGTAGATAAAATTTTAACTACTAATTACGAATTTTTAAATTCTTACATAGTCAAAGTCCAACAACAAAATAAAACTACAAGTTCACACCCAATGTCACAACATAGTTAAATACTAATACAAGAAATAACATGATTTTATTTTGATAAAATCTTGACTCTAAATTAGCCAAGGTTCGATATTAGCAGCAGCTCCAATTTCAGCCTCAGTCCTTTCCTCGGCATAATCTGGCATGAAACGCCAGGGCAACAAAATATATGCCATGAGTTTTGCAACACAGTAAGAAAACATAACCAGCCTACCATTCTTTTTGAGAGAAAATAATGAGATTATAAACAAGAGGTAGTAATATAATTGTAAACATAAATTACAACTAATAAAATAATTCAAATAATTTTAATAACTTAAGTGACCTTTGAAATCTCGCCAAAGAGGTTTAACTTACCAACCACTAAGTCATGGCCACGGTTAATTTGGAAACCCCCCATTGGTCAAATATTCAAGAACTGCCAAAGATGCCTACGCCCGGAGTTATATACCCAAGCCGTGACATCCATGGTCTATCCCAAGGGAACGGTCTGCCAGGGATACGTAACTTCCACTACAGGAAAAAAGGGTTATGGTGGCGCTTTTTTAACGACGTTTTTTTAAACGTCACTGTTATGAACATTTAACGGCGTTTTATAAACGCGACATATTCTTTTAACTAAAACGACACCATTTTATAATAGGAGGCGTTGAAAACGCCTTCAAATGTTGTATACCACACGCGCCTTTTCAATCCTTATTTTGTATCTGAGCCCTCTCTCAACCCATATGCATTCATCATTTTGAATCTGAGCCCTCCCTCTCTCTCTCTCTCAACCCTCTCAGCGCCATCGAAGATTCAGATATTCGAAGCTCCATCGAAGCAATTTCGAAGCTCCAGATCGAACCGATTTCGAAGCTTCATCAAAGATTCAGAGATTCAGTGATTTCCAGAAGCTCAGATCTGAACTCTGACCCCTCGATTACTCGCATTTCAAGCTTAAATTGGTACTCTCTCTCTCTCTCTCTACATGAAACTACATAAATAGAAAGTTTAGAGTTATATTTTGCTGTATATGTGCCTCTGTATCTATATGTGCATTTTGTTAATCTCGTGCCTATTTTGCTAATTTAGAGTTATATTTTGCTATTTTATTTTTGTGTTTTGTGTTTGGTTGATGAGAAAAGAAGGAAAGTGAAAGGAAAACTGGGAATTGGAAATTGTGTTGATTGAAACATATTTTTCTATTGTGTTCTTATTTTTATCTATTTGACAAAATCCCATTTACTCGTGTTTGGATCATTTACACTTCAATTCTAGTACTTCAATAATCAACAAAGAATTTTGTTTGTAATTTTGAGTTAAAATGCAATGTTAACATCCATCCTTAGTTACAAACATTAAATGACCAACTACTCTTCTGCTTTGTCTTGGTTATATGCTCGCTCTCCTCTTTCAGCACTCTATCTTTACTAAATTTTCACCTAATTTCAAACTTAACTACTTTGTAATCAACTCATTTTTTATAATATGTCATCTTGAACCTCAAACGTTCTTGTGTCCATGACTACTACTGCCATTCCTAAGCGAATGGATAAACAAAAATGTCAAGTGACATTCCTACACTCATGGGCCATCTATGACTATACTAGATGTCTGGTGTTGAATTCTTAACTAGCATTATTGTTTGTTAAACTCCCATTTTTTTTATACAAGGCTAGTACATTCAACTCCAAATCTCAACTATGGGGTGCTCCTCCACCCTTCGAATCTAAAATGAAGGGAGGTACAACCATCAAGTGATTTCTCTCTCTAAAAGTGGTTCTACAAGAGAGTATCAGTAGTGTTACTCTAATGCTCCTAAGAGTGTAACCTATATAGACTTAAATTTGCCATTCCGATCTTGACAAAAAAAATGTAACATGACAAACAAATCAGTCAACTAGGAGCGAAGTTCATTACTCAATTAGGAGTGAATGAAGGTAGGAATAGTTGGTTAGTTTTTCTAACAAGCCTCATTTGGAGTGTCTGGTTTCCTAACAAGCCTCAATTTGGAGAGCATGGTTCGCTACTTCATCCCTAATAGCCATTTGGAGAGTCTGGTTTGCAAAACATCCTACCAACAATGTACTTACTTGATATCTATTGAATAAAGAGGCAATTTGATTGGGTAATCACCATTAACTATACAACTGAAACTCAAAATGTAAAATAGGAAGAGCAATTACAACCTCAACAACACTAAAATTCTTCTTATATCTATTTGTCTAGTCATATCACAATAATTTACATCATAAAAACAACTAAAAAAAGAATTATATAGCCAAGAAAATATGTGAGAACCAAAGATAAGATCAATTCTAATGCAAATAAAGATATTTAAATCCTTAAGTCAATTGTACATCCAAATTCAGCAAAAACAGCAAATAGGATGATTGTGATTAGAGAAATGACCTACTTCTTAGATATCTTCTTCTTCGAACTAGAATCAACTATCTGCATCTTCGAATGCTTTTCGGCTTCACTCGGATCAAGCCACTTGAGAGGGTTGTGATTGAAGAAAGGCCAATTGGGAACAGTGATCAAAGTAGTGATAACTACACCAGAGGCGTATATTAATGTTTGACTTTGTTTGTGCTTGCTTTCATTTGAAGGCATAATAGTTTGGTTTTTATTGATTGATTTGAGAGAGCAATGTATTTCTTGAATCTATCATAATCTATCAAGAGCATTGTAGAAACTTTTGGTTTCTTCATTAATATGCTTCATACTAGATATGTTTCTAGTGTGCTTGATAGTACTAATTTAGATTGCACCACCGGGATGCAATCATTAATGGTGCATGCATGCATAAATAGCCTTAGACCCGTCCAAGAATCTTCATTAGAGATACCTAGTCATCTTTGACGAAGCTCTTCTTGGATTGTCCAGTTTGGACAGTTCAAGAGCACAAGTCTGTATTGTAATTAGTAGTTCTACTGCTTACAGTCCATCTCGTAGAGATTTCGTGTAGTAACTCCTTGTGTTCTTCAAGTGCATACTAGACAAGGTGTAGCAGTACACCTAGTCTATGTCGTGTATTTGGAGAACCATGGGGAGATACTGCCGAAATTTCGTTAGAGATGAACAGAGCAGTATGAGCTGCTTTTTACAATATAGACTGTGCATTCCTGAATGGGAAAGTAGGATGAACCAGCATATTAGAGACCAGTTAGAGGTGAATGATGTCATATCGCATGCATTATAAGGTACTTAACTGAGGTTAAGATTAATTAGAATGGAACGATAATTTTAAACATTGTTGATTTGGCAGTGACATTTGTAGTGTAAGATAGAGTTAGATGGATAAAAGTTGGATAAATCAGCATAGGTTACACCCGGAATACATACAAGGGGTTAAGGAATTTATTAAATTTGCATGCGAAAATAAGCCGTTGTTGAATGAAGTCACATGCCCATGTAAACGGTGTTGTAATGTCAAATTGGTAGAGAAAGGCCTGCTAGGGGAACATTTAATGATCAATTGGTTTCTTCTATGTTACACCAATTTGATTTTTCATGGGAAGAATTTGCCTTCGCCTGTGGCACACAATGTGAATGTCGGGCCAAACTGATTCGAAGGATGGTGATGAAACTTATGAAATGCTATACGAAGGATTTGGACTTCCTCCACCAAGCTTTATTCACGAGGCAGCAAGTTCTGGTATTAAACAAGGTCCAGATGAGAAAATTGAAAAATTCTTCAATTTATTGAAAGAGACCGAAAGAGAGTTGTATCCTGAGTGTCATAAGTTTTCAACGCTCTCATTTATTGTTCGGTTATTGCACATCAAGTGCCTTAGTGGATGGAGTGACAAGTCTTTCATGATGTTGCTTGAGCTTTTGAAGGATTCGTTCCCAAAGGGTGAAACTTTGCCAAAGTCATTTTATGCAACTAGGAAACTCCTTAGGGACTTGGGCCTCGATTATCATAAGGTACATGCATGCCCAAGGGATTGTTCACTATATTGGAAGGAAACAGCTAGTATGGATGATTGCATAGTGTGTCATATGCCTGGATACAAACAGTTTGAGGGGGAGAAGAATGATGTTAAGAAGAAGCAACAAAGAATTCCACAGAAGATTGTTAGATACTTTCCATTGATTCCAAGGTTTCAAAGATTGTTTATGTCATCCAAAACATCTTCTTTAATGAGATGGCATGCAGAGGGCCGAATTGATGACGGCAAAATGAGACATCTCATTGACTCTCCAGTTTGGAAATTTTTTGATAATTTGTATCCCAAGTTGCGAGTGAGCCTCGCAATGTCAGACTGGGTTTAGCAGCGGATGGATTCAATCCATTCAAGGCAATGAATGTCTCTCATAGCAGTTGGCTAGTTATTATGATGCCATACAATTTGCCACCATGGTTGTGCATGAAGCAACCTCATATGATGATGACATTGCTCATCAATGGTCCTTCTTCACTTGGAAATAACATTGACGTCTACTTACGCCTTGTAGTGGATGAATTGAAAGAATTGTGAGAAAACGGTGTTGACACGTATGATGTGGAAACTAATCAGATGTTCCGAATGCATACTGTGTTATTGTGGACTATAAATGATTTTCCTGCCTATGCAATTTTGTCTGGATGGAGCACGAAAGGCGCTTTAGCTTGTCCTTGTTGTAACACACATGCTTGTTCTTGATATTTGAAGAATGGAAAGAAATTATGTTGCATGGGTCATCGTCGCTGGTTGAATGGGGGTCACAAATTTTGGAAAGCTAGTGCGTCTTTTGATGGCACTCGTGAATTCAAACCATGTCCAACTCGGTTATCAGGGGCTAATGTGCTACAACAACTAGGCCCTAAGTTCAAATTGAATTCTAAGCGTCAACAATCTAGCAAACAGAATAGAAAGGGGAAAGAAAAGGAGGAAAATGAGGACTCGGGTCATAGTTGGAAGAAGAAGAGTATTTTTTTTGAGCTGTCATATTGGGAGCAAAATTTGATTCGCCACAATCTTGATGTGATGCACATTGAAAAGAACATGTGTGATAATGTATTGTGGATGATATTAAATGTTGATGGGAAAGGGAAGGACAATTTAAATACTCATCGAGATTTGCAAGATATGGGAATTCGGAAGGCACTACATCCTCAGAAAAGGGTTGGAAACAAGTATTATTTGCCTCCTGCATGTTTTGCCATGAACAATAAAGAGAAAAGTCTATTCTGCACACTTCTAAAGAATATCAAAGTTCCAGATGGTTATGCATCTAATATCTCTCGTCGGGTTAACCTCAAACAGCGTAGCATATCTGGCCTGAAAAGTCATGATAACCATATACTCATGCAACAAATACTTCCAATAGCAGTGAGAAATTTGTTACTGAAGAAAGTGGTTGAACCATTAATTGAGTTAAGGAATTTCTTCAGGCAGTTGTGTTTCAAAACCCTAGAGGTGGATGGTCTAAATCGTTTTTAGTCCCAAATTGCTCTTACACTTTGCCATCCTGAGAGAATTTTTCCTCCATCATTTTTCGATGTAATGGAGCACTTACCCATTCACCTAGCAGAGGAAGCAAAGATTGCCGGTCCGGTGCAATATCGATGGATATACTTTGTAGAAAGGTGTGTAATTATACTCCAATGTCCATTTTGTATATATTTGCTTGTTAATACTTGGAAGTCATGTATACATCTTTTTGTTTATAGGTACCTTATGACGCTTAAATCATACATGCGTAATCGAAGTCATCCTGAAGGTTTAATTGCATAGGGATACTTAGTTGAAGAATGTATTAAATTTTGCTCAAGATACTTGCATGATGTTGAGTTGAAATTGCATCGACCGTTAAGGAATTGTGATGTTAGCGACAATCCTGAGATATTAATGGGGCGGGCTTTAGGAAAAGGAAAAGGGTTTGTTCTTGATAACACAACATGGGTACAGGCTCATCGGTATATGTTATTTAACATTGCTGCGGTTGTCCCATATCGAGAGTAAGATAGACGCAACCTTTGTCTCATCGTGAATGTATTTATACCAACTATAATTATCTTGCATTTTACAAGTAGTTTAATTGTGTAGGGAACATCGTGAATTTATTAAGCAGTCACATCGTCGTCTCAGAGATTATGATGTGGATCGTCGTCACAATGATGAGTTTACCAAATGGTTCAATTCTCATGTAAGTGCATGTCAAGCATAACCAGTTTTTCTATATTTTGAAGTTGTTAATTGATGTTTAATATTGATAACTTTTTTTTAAAAAATAGGTTGCAGAGCTGTTAACTACTGAAAATGTAGCGTTGTTAGATGAGATTAAAATTTTGGCTTTGGGACCCAGCCAAAAGGCCACCAGATTTAATGGGTATATAATTAATGGTACTAAGTATCATACTAGGAGTCGTGAGTTGAGAAGAAAAACTTAGAATAGTGGCGTTATGGTGAAGGCAAAGACTTCTAGCTATGCAAGTGCGAAAGACATTAATCCAGTGAAAGGTGATGTAGCGTACTATGGATATGTGACAGATATTATTGAATTGTATTACTCACATGACCATAGATACATGTTATTCATGTGCAATTGGATTGATAACAATAAGGGACTCAAGCGGGATGCTTTTGGTTTTACACTTGTTAATTTCAATCACTTGTTATATGCGAAGAAACAGGACAGCAATGAGCCATTCATCCTAGCATCTCAAGCACAACAAGTCTTTTATGTTAATGATTCTGTTGATGAAGATTGGAATGTTGTACTCAAGATGAAACCTAGAGACTTGTATGAGGTGTGTGGAGAACAACCAACTATTGATGAAGGACTACATCACAACGAAGTGGAAGGATTTGGTGATCAAGAGTTAGATGTAGCTTCCTTCACTTGTCAGGAGGACATGGATTGGGTTAGGCAAGGTATTAATGGAACAACTGTTGATGAAACTATTGGACCTCTTGAAGCATCAACAGAGGCACCATTTGAAGATGACGAAGAAATGATATGATATTGTAATTTGTTGTATATTCACTTTTACAATTGTGTTTTCTATACGGATATTCATGTTAATAAAATCTTTGCCTTTATACCATTGTAGTTTTCTTTAAATGGCCATTTTTACCTTTCATGTACTCTTATTTTGTTTTGAATGCAGTTTCTTTATTGATTATCATGTCCTTACTTTTATGTTTGTAGTTTCTTTATAGATTATCTATAAGTTCTAGTTCCGAGAGTTCTTTTAGTGAGAGTGAGCAATCAAGCTCTAATAGTTCTAGTTCAGATGAGACTCATGCCACACTTAAGATGAGAGTCATACCCGATCCACCAGCATCATGGCATCCACCAGGCAGTCTTCTTACCACATCACGTAGCGGTAGTACATCACATGGCTCAGTTTCAGCTAGTACGTATAACTATGTTCAGACTTTACTTCATATTTGTTCCAGCCTAAACTCCAAAAACTATCTTGGGAGTTGAGCAATTGTTCATTACCACCGACAGTAGTGATGTGGCTATGCCACATACATATTCAAATCATTGATTTACCACACAAATCAATGGTTTAGATGTGATGTGGCTATGCCATTGCTTCCAGAGTTATTCTAGAAGCAACTGGGTGTTTATATATAGAGTAATATTAGGATGATCAAATTATTATTTTTTTAAATAAATTTGTTTACTATTTGACATGACACTTTGATATGGAATAATTGTTTATTTCATTTAGTAATTCATACCTTACATATCTTCTCTTTTAAAGCTTCAATAACGATTGAACCTATAGTTTAGATCAAGTTAAGACCCTACAAGTCTCACATTGCATCAATACATTGCTAACATTACTTTGATGTATACCAAACTGTTTGATGCAGCTTTTCTTTGAAAAAATAATAATTAAGGGGGGATGAGTGACATATCCTGCATATTGTTTCAATTGTTTACACAATCAGGTTATGTTCGCCAATGTTCACTAGCTTTTGTTTCTCTTAAATGTCTATATAGTGGTTTACTGTTTTATACTACATTCCAATACAACTCAGGTATATAGTGGTTTACTGTTTTATGTCTATATGTTGGTCATGAAATACTTGGTTCTTTTGCACCCATTGCCTAATGAATCACATAGTTAAAACTGAATTAAGTTAGTTGGTCCTGAAACCAGATATCTTCTGGTCCATTAATGTAGATGAATCACTACTACAATTTGGATAGTCACATAGCAGCATGTAGTATTATTATTATATAGTTTATTATGGACAAAGCAGTTGATTTTGAATAGATGTAAGAGATTCCATGTTCCAATGTCTTGGTATCACTGCTGGAAAACAGACTTTTAGTGACGTTTAAGAAACGCCGCTATATCTTTCAAAAACGCCGCTAATTCCTTTTGCGACGTTTAGTACCAAACGTCGAAGCTGCGGCCGTCGCTGTATCTTTACGACGTTTTAAAAACGTCGCGATATTAGAATAGGCGGCGTTTTTAGAAACGCCGTGAAATGTCCCTACCATGACGTCACTATGATTTTAGCGACGTTTTCAAAACGCCGTCATATCTTTTTAAAAAAATTGACCGTTAACTTTTTGGAGTTTAGGTGGCGTTTTAAAAACGCCGTGAAATCCTCTTGTTTTTTTTTTTTTGAAATTATGCTAATTTTATGTGATTAAACTAAAAAAATACCTATAATAAAATTGAATAGCCGTAATATGAAATAATAACTCCCATTCAAATTATAAATGCAGCATTAATTCACTTTCCTATTCAATTTAATATCCAATAATCATTACCCACAAAATAACATATTCAAAAATTAAATTCACAATTCTCAACTAAAAAATCAGCAGTCCTATGGCAGCAAAAATCAACACCAGCCAAAAGTCACACATAGCCTTGTTCTTATCAACTAGACCAACTTGTATTACAAAAGCTTTTGTAAGATAATTTGCTTCCAAAAAATGAAAAAATGGATCATTATTCACATCCATACTAGATCTACCAGGTGTCTCTGGAGTATAAATTGCAGGAATCACATCAGGCTCCCTAGCTAAGAAGACACTGTTCACCACCCCATAATTTCCACTTACAAATGGTTGGTGCTCATCATGCCGCCATTCTCCATCAACAAAAAACTTGTACTGCACGGAAATGAAAACAACATATCTAAACATCAGATACTAGAGATAGAAGTACACTTTTAGGATTGTTGATGTAGATGAACTCATCTCTTTGACTAAACACTGAATTTCATGATCAATTTGTTAATCTTGCACAATATTTCTGTGAATATCATGTCCGTTATATACAATTTTGAAAGAATTAAAATGTATAAAATGCATGCACCATTGTGCAACTATGGGATGCATGTTTACTTTCTTCAACCTGTATAATCTTCATATAACACAACAATATGGTGTCTCATTGAGATTTATATGTATTAGCTGCCTGTGTTATAGCAAACATACAAAGCCTTTTAGCTAATTTATAGTCTTTATTATTTGAAACAACAAATCACCCTCTTTAGCGGACAAATTGTCCATGGATCCATTTTCAGGAACATAAAGTGGCTCCAATTTCTGTTAAGCATGGGGACCCACCAATACTGATATATATTAAAGTATAAAACATTTTAAGAAGAAGAAGGTGTACAATCCAAGTTAAAATTCACAAAACAGATCACCAAGCTCTTTCAACAGTGCAAGCTTCTAAACTTAGAGTAGAAAGTAGAAAATGAAGAAGAAAAAGAAGAAATTCAAACAAATCAAATATACCTCAACTTTCCCAAATCTTCTTCCAGACATCTCACATGCTCAGAAGCCTCTTCTTGGGCCTTTTTTGTAACTTCCTGTAATGAAATATTAACAAATAGGTTAAAAACACCAAAGTAAATATAGAAGTAGACACGACCATCTATTCATAAGGCTTTTTTTTCAAATAGGTCTTCCCTACCATCATCTGCAAGAACCAAGGAGTAAGTTGAATTGGCTGATGCAAGGAAATAACCAAAAACAAAATAATGCCTATATCCATAAAATGCCACCCCCAATCATCAGGAACCCCCAATGAGGGACAGATTTGAGAAAAATAATGTCTTCAGAAAACAAATGATGATGAAGAAATAAAAATCATGTATTCAGCACGCTGATCCACTTGCCCATATCCATGTAATAAAACAAGCAATTGAGGAGGTGGAAAAAAAATAATGACTTCAAAAAATAAAGTTGTTCCATTAGTCACTATCCCTATAAATATAATTAATATACAGCTTTCACATTGTCCATCCATCTCAAAGAATCTCAGCAAGTACTATCTGACTTCAACTATATTCAGACACATTTTAAAAAAAAGTTCTCAAAGACATGCCACTATATTAAGCACACTTACAAAACAGCAAGGGCTTGCATTAGACCTATCACCTCTGGAATTTTCCCTGTCAGCCTATTTCCTTGCAGAGATCTAATAACAAGAACCATAAGCACAGTAATGTCATAATGAAAAACACGAAATGCATTTTGTATTAGAATTCAGAAATTAAGTGCATATCAATTTTAACTTCAATTGACCTTCCTTGAAGACAACAGAAGAAGAACATTTGTTACTGGAATTCGTTTCCTTCCAGGGCTTGAGGTAGTTGATAGAACTGTGGACCCAAGCCATGATGATATTAAGAATCTTGACATTTTGTCACTGGAAATAGACAAAGAGAAAGACAAGCAACTAGATGATGACTACATAAACGAGCTCAGGATACTAAAGGAAAATGATGAATCATACTCTTACAAACAAAAAGTTGTGAACAATGGGGAAGAGACCATGGAGACAATAAGGTCAGTGGACAAAATTCATGACCTCTTCATAGTTGGTAGAGGAGATGGAATAGAATCGACACTTACAGCAGGACTTAATGAGTGGAATGAGTGCCCTGAGCTTGGAGTAATTGGTGATTTGTTAGGATCATCAGATTTTGCAGCAACATCATCTATTCTAGTAGTTCAGCAATATATAGGGCTAGGGCCACATGATGGAGGGATTTTAACACCGGATAGCATGAGTCAACAAGAAGAGCAATCTATTACGAACTCAACAGTTCGTAGCTAAGGGTGTAAGCCATCTGTGCTCGGCAAATAAGTCTTAAGTCTAATCAGTTTGAGGACTCAGATCAAATGTCCTAAAACAACACAAACTCTCCATAGAAAGAGAATTGAAGTATAAACAAATCCATCAATCAGTATTTTACTTTTGCGTATCATGTACTTTATGTATAAGTGGATCCAACATGATACAAAGAATTTGTAGAAAGAGAATTAGTGTCAAACTCAATATTCTTTTGTATAGTAATTCTAGGCAGCTACTAAAGTATCCATACCTTTACTCAAAAAGTAGCATATGATCCAAGTTCATTAAGTGTGAATCTTGAGATAAATATAAATACTAGGGACTGCAATTGGACGCTTGCCCATTGACGCTTTTGGCTAGTTAGTACTTCTGGGTTATAAGTTCCACTTTTCACTTCAGGAGGCTGTGAAAAGCCTTTTAGTACTCTAGAAACTTGGTGTTGAAGTATATGTAGTGGACTATTGCCGTTGTCATCTTTTGATGAGAATACCACAGATGGTCGGGGTGAACGAACAGTAGTGGCAGCAGCAGCTGCAGCAGCAACAGCTCTTGCAATATCTTCTGTTGTCTGCATAAAGAGTGAAGCACTCCAGCGAGGGCTACCAGAATCTTCATTCTTCACCATATTTGAAATTTCGCCTCCTGCAAAGCAAAGATAAGCATACATAAATAAGCCCAAGTCCCACATTAAAATAAAATAAAAATTAAAAAATATTAATAAAGAAAGAAAACAAGGAAGCATTCCATAATAAAGAATTAAAAGACAGAAATCACATGTATGTAGTTTTATTGAGAGAGAGAGAGAGAGAGAGAGAGAGAGAGAGAGAGTACTTGGAAAGAAATATGATTATCTTTGGGATTAATCTGGCAAATCTTGGGCATGTTTTCAGGGTCTTCAGATTGCAAAAGATGTATCCCAATACCATAATCCTTGAATCTGTCAACAATGACAACAAAAAGATTGAGATCCAAGAATGCTAAGGCAAACAGATAAAAGACTTTCCACAAATATAGTTTGGATTCATAGAATAGGAAAATAGCATAAATGAAAACACTATTTCCATGACTACTAAAAATCAGCTAAATGAAAAGATGCCAATAATTCTGCAGTGCTTAAAATCATTTCAAAACACTGCTCCCTTCTTCAATCTATATGAGACTTCAACTTTCAGAAAAATTTGTCAATCTTTTAAGGCCTGGTGAGCCATCTATTCAAACTTCTGTTACAGTAATTGAACTTTGATGCTGATGTAGTTTCACATTATGTATATATAGGATGCACTCCAAAATCTTGTGAAAGTGAATCAATAAAAAGATACACAAATACAAATACAAGAAAAAGATTGCTAAGTTTGCATTAAAGATAATGTGCTTCTTAGGTACGTAGAGATGAGAGGTTGCCTTCAGCTTTGAGGCAGCTCCCTGTTCCTGGTTCTCAAGCCTCAGCAGATGAGCAAATAAAACTGTATCAGATGGCAAGCGGGGTTTTGAGGAGAAAGGAGCCTGATGGTGGGTGGGATGGAGATAGGATTAGCTACAAACAACCCTCATGGCAGTAGGACTACAGGGATATGGAAAAATTTGTCAGTCTTTTAAGGCCTGGTGAGCCATCTATTCAAACTTCTGTTACAGTAATTGAACTTTGATGCTGATGTAGTTTCACATTATGTATATATAGGATGCACTCCAAAATCTTGTGAAAGTGAATCAATAAAAAGATACACAAATACAAATACAAGAAAAAGATTGCTAAGTTTGCATTAAAGATAATGTGCTTCTTAGGTACGTAGAGATGAGAGGTTGCCTTCAGCTTTGAGGCAGCTCCCTGTTCCTGGTTCTCAAGCCTCAGCAGATGAGCAAATAAAACTGTATCAGATGGCAAGCGGGGTTTTGAGGAGAAAGGAGCCTGATGGTGGGTGGGATGGAGATAGGATTAGCTACAAACAACCCTCATGGCAGTAGGACTACAGGGTTATGGAAAAATTTGTCAATCTTTTAAGGCCTGGTGAGCCATCTATTCAAACTTCTGTTACAGTAATTGAACTTTGATGCTGATGTAGTTTCACATTATGTATATATAGGATGCACTCCAAAATCTTGTGAAAGTGAATCAATAAAAAGATACACAAATACAAATACAAGAAAAAGATTGCTAAGTTTGCATTAAAGATAATGTTCTTCTTAGGTACGTAGTTTACCTTTTGCTAATCTCTTAAAATTTCCATTTATGCAGATGGAAAATACATAATATGGAGAAATATTATGTTCAAGACACAGTAGCTGTAAATAAAATAAGTATGACAATAATGATTTTGTACAACAAAAAGAAAATACACCTTAAAAACACAATTAGTACTTCTCATCAAACCTCTCCACATAAAAAAAGAGGCTCATGGTTAAGTAGGTGTATTCTCATTCGCTACAAAAGCAAAAATAGCTACTAGTTTGGCATCCTATATAAATATAGCTTTAGCTTTTTTGAGCAATTGGACTAGCTTGCCCCGGATATGGAGGCTCATGACCTCATTAGAACCACCAACCAACTCCCCCCCTATGAACACAGCGGGTACGCTAGGTCGACATCCTAATGACAACAACTCTCTTTCCAGTTGTCCTCCATTAGGAAGTTCATCAAGCTCATAAACAGCAAGACTGGCCCCAAAACCGTGTATCAGTATTTTGATGGTGTGGCAAAAGCAGCAACCGCTTTTGCTGAAGATCACAACTGGCTTTTCAGCTCCCAAAGCCAATTCCTATACCAACCAGCCCAAGCAGACACCAAACCACTTATCCCAAGTGTGACTGCATGGCTACATCTGAAAATACTCATCTGAAAATACTCTTTCCAAAACAGTAAAGCATTTTATCATTGTTTGAGAGTGACCTCACATATGTCCATGTAATATCTATGTACATGGAATAGCAAGTTGAACATAAGAAGATCCTTAATATATATGATAAACGTGATCATCATGCAATGGTTTTACATTCTCAAATGGCACCATTTAACACTGATGTAGCATATATATATATATATACTAGCGTATACCCGTGCCTGAAGGCACGGTATAAATAATTGTTATCGCAACACTATTTAAATTTAAGATTAAAATGCAATTATAAAAATATATTTAATAGAGTAAGAAATATATGAGCTCTCTTGTTATTTGGGTTGGCTAAACAAATCTTTATGAATTGCAACTTTACAACCAAACCCACAAAAAAAAAAATGGTCGACTTGGTGATTTTCAGATAATCAGAAAATCTGAAAGCAAGAACCGAAGCAAGAATTAATCAGAACTATCAACTGAATTTTGCTTAGAAACCTTTTTGGCAGGTGAGCTTCTACAAGGAGGAAGTTCCAATAGAAAAATATATATATTAGGAAGACAAGGTAATTGTCAACAATAAATAAACATAAGAAAAGTTTACCAGCCAATTGGCATCATTCCACTTCTTGTCAATCAAGTTTTTCCATTTCTCGAGGTCACATTCAGGCGGTGGGTGGCTTCTAGCATACTCCTCTCCCTTAGCACTTTTAAGGTTCAGGTATTTTTTTCGTAGTCTGTAGGTGTAGCTGCTCAAGCTCCGTCCACACTTTGTTGCCACCGCTTTGCTAACATTTGTGGAGTCACCTTCCATGTCAAATTGATCCTAGCAACAGCCACAAATCTTGTAAGTCATAATTAATTATATTACATTAATTCAATCAATTATGTAAAACTTTTACCGTTAGACGCTGAAACATAGGTGCCGTAACTTCTTCGTTGACTAATGGTCGAGCCTACTATTTCTGAGTTGTTGAACATTATTGAAGATCTTTAGAGAACTATGGCAGACTTAGCCTCTGGGATTTTGGCTCCATCATTGACCACATCACATGCTAGAAATTTCACGTCAAAAAGCTCCCCAATCTGTTGGAAACCTACAATTGGAAAAGGCCAACCCGAAGCTATCAGCTTGAGTGATGACATGTCAACAATGAATGGGCCTTGCCTAGTCATCCAATCCCTTGGTAAAGATGAAGTAAGTGGCAAGAACAAGGCCAGGGCAAGTATTCATCCCTATGCACGTCTTCGGTCGGCTATTGAGACTTTGAAGGTCAAAGGGTTGAATAAACAACAAGTGTTTGCAGTTGCTGCAAAGACTATGGATAACACGTTTGTTACTCAAGTTAGGGGCATTTTGAACCAAGGGGTAAGCCATGAAAAGGGATGCCTTGCTAGAAACACCCCTTTCGGCTTCAATCCTACACCCATCGGAGATCTCCAAACCCAGTCAACACTTACCGACCCCTCTATCAATACTTGCAGGACTGGTAGCCGTACCTTCAATCCCATTTACATGACCACGTCCAAAGCTTTCCAAATCCTCATAGCACAAGGCCATCTCAAACCTCTTGACCCACGACCTCTCTCTGATTGTCTTCCAGCCAAGCATAATGTTGCCAAGTATTGCACCTTCCATCAACAACCTGGTCATGAGACTAACCGTTGTTTTTTCCTTCTCCATGAAGTTCAAGATCTAATTGACAACAAGGTCATCACCCACTACAACAAGTTGGGCCTTGAGTGACGAAATTTTTTTGTCTTCAAAGAGCTAATTTCGTCACTATAGATATTTGTGAGGAAATATTTTCGTCACCGGTTTCGTCATTGAATGTTTGTCACTAAAAACCAACGTGACGAAAAATAATTTCGTCACCAATGAAATTACTTCAGCGACGAAATTTTTTGTCACCAATAAAACAACATTTTGTCACCAAAAATTCTCATTTTCGTCACCAAATAGTTTTTCAATACCATATTTATAACTTTAGTTGACGAATAAATTTGTCACGCATGTTGATCATTGATGAGGAAATAATTTCGTCACAATAAGATGTAAAGATGACGAAATTTTTCGTCTTCAAAAGTCATAATTTTTTGTCACCAATAAAACAA